AAGGAGCGGTTTACACAAGGGCACAGATAGACATGATTCACCAGGGGGCCATTACTATAATTATGTAACATACCACTGTTGTTAGTTGTGGGAACTTCTAGTTTTCCCTGGGCACACAAGCATACTCTCAGATGTATATGGTTTAAATGGATGGGATGACTGATTTATGTTTGCTTACAAAAATAGGACATCACCATTTATGTGCACAAAATCCAACTGCAATTGAAGACTACTCATGAGCTACGTTGTAGAGATACAAAACACAGTTCCTTCAACAAAACTGTACTGAGTGTTGACTTTTTGTAATACAACATTACAACTGTAGACAAAATAAATCTACAGGATAAGTTTACATGAATCTGAAAATATTTAGCCTGGAAAGGAACATTCTCCTAGTTGAATTTCCTGGGAAGTTGGGAAAGTCCTCTCAATTTCATTATCATTATATCATCATTTACAAGATGAGCAATCTACTGTATTTGTACTATTTTAAAGTTTGTTAAATGTAGTTTCGCCAGCAAAGTTTGCAAAGTTTGTATTCATACTGACTCTTACTAAACTTTCTAGTCTCCTCATGTTAAAGGAAAACAAGTGTCTGCTTGTTGCACACTCATTCCTATCCATGAAAACAAGACAAAACAAAACATTTACTATATACGGGATACTAAATTTCTCATGGCCACGCTATATTGTAGACACTGGAAAAGTAAGCTACCATTTATTTTCTTGATAAGTCAGCAAAAAGGAAATGGAGGTAAAATCTAAGGAACACAGATTCTTTGGTACAGGGAACAAAGGTAGCAATTATAAAAGGCATGGCGCTTTCTTGCGAAGTGATTTTGGTCAGATAAAGCGGCTCATAAAATCCTAGGAAAGGAAGAAGGCAGGTCTAGGCAAGTATTCCTCTAATAGGCTATCTATAAAATTGTCACATAAATCCCATCTCTTGATGAAAATTGACAGATGCAGAAAATCTAATGAAAAATAATACAGTTTTAGCAATTTTCCTCAAAAAATATAATGAGTTAATGAACTAGAACTTGAGTTAAATTTTCTCATTCACAGGTACAAACTGATGACAGTGCATAAGAACCAGCTAACTCGTTCCCTGCTGTACCTCCAGCATCTAGCACAGTGCACAATATCAAAAATATTGTTAGAATGAGTTAACGAATGAAATTTAAGCAACATTTTGCTTTCAGTCAGGATTGTCATCTAGGTTACAATCTTAACTTCCTCAATTATTAGAAAATAACTTCTCTGTACTCATTCTCATTTTTGAAAAATTAGCAAAAAACTTACCATTAGACCAGGCACCTTGAGTTCCTGGGAATACAAATGTAAGCAAGAGGGTGAGGGAAGCAAGGGTGTAAAAAACCAACACAAACAAAACTAGTAAATTAATAAAAATAATAGTTATGATAAATGCAAAAAAACAAAAGAAAACCAAGGTGCTACAGTAAAAATAACAGATTCCTATTATGAAAATAAATAGGTAGTAGCAAACATAGTACAGGACATAATATGTGCTCTAATATTAAATTTCATCCCTATCGCCCTCTGCTAAATTATGAATTAAAAACACTGAACATGAAGAATATTTATTCAAATTCTTGAGTACTCAAAGTTATAATATTAGAATATGACAATATTTAATAAAAATAACAAGATTGAAGAAAAAGCACTTTACAAATATTGGCTCCCAGAATATCTGAAGAGGTAGTATAGCAGTCAAGAATATGTCCTCCAGGCAGAACGATCTGTGTTCAATCACACTATTTAGTTTAGAACAGAGTACTTAACCTCTTCAAGCCTCAGTTTCTTAACATAGATGGAAAATGAGAAGTAGGCAGACACCTATTCCACTGGATTGTTATGATGATTAAATAAGATAATGAGCAATATTTGCCATAAAATCTTTCAGAAAAGGAGTACACAAAACTGTTCCTACAAATCTGATGAATATCTAAAAATTTATCTCGCAAAATCAGTATGTTTTAATTTCCTACTAAACTATTTTTTGTTTTTCCCAAACTCATGGTTTAAAAAGAAATCTCTTCCTTATTTTCAAAAATAAAATTTAGTCAATTATGTAAAACAATACGAAATAAGTGCTTAACAAAAAAAGTTAACGATGAGAGGCATTGGTCCAAATAGTTGGAAATGTCATTTATGATTTCAAGTCTACAGCTTTTCTAAGAAAGCTACCTACTGGTGTATCATACTCCAGAGCAGTGAGCAGTGGCATGAACAAAACTTCCCAAGAGTTCAGAGTGGTAAATACCTGAGAAGGTGCCTTCAGAAAGGGCGCTCTGGGCAACAAAACAAGTGTCAACAGCTGTACAGGTGAGTCCTCCCGTCCCTTCTCTCTCCACCCCACGCAGTGGCCCGGACAAATACTAACCTCTCCTCTCTAAAACCTTCACTTTTTACTAGTTCCTCAACCTTCAAGCCCTTCTATCCGCGAAGGCAATGGTGCTACAGGTAAGGCGGGAGGAGTCGGAGGATGCGCTGTCCTCAATTCTTCTTTCGCCCCCAAACCATGGTCACGGCTGCGCAGCCCCCACTCTACTATACTCAAGACAGATTCTGATACCAAAGAAGGCTAAAACTTCTTTTTTTCCCTTCTTACACAAGACACTACTCTGGACGCCACTTGTAAACGCTTGATGGGAAGGAGAGGACTTCCCAGCTTCTCAGGACCCGGCCAGGCCCTTCCACCCCAACAGTAAGAGCTTCTTACAGCCGGGACTGCACCCCTCCACTTCTCCCCATCCGCTGACCGATAACTCGACCTCACCTGGGAGGGGTTCCTTCAGAGGATGGTTTAGGAAAGCCTCAGGAAGAGCAGCCCAGTGAGTGACGCCACCGAAACCAAAGTCATGATCTACCTTGTTCAGGCCACCAGCGCGGACGCGCCTCAGCCACTGCGCTTCCCCGCTCCCGGTCCTCCTCCACCGCCCTGGTACTGCCGTAGCCTCCCGCACTGCACGCCGGGAGCGCCCTACCTCCCCTCCTGAGACTTCAGTTCCCAGCAAGAACAAGCATCCGGGCAGAACTGCACCCTGGGATTTGGAGTCCTCATACCACGCCTTCTCGTTTTTAACACAGTAGTCCAGGGAACCTGGCGGGTAATCTAAACGTAAAGCGTCACCCACGGTCGTGAACTGGCTCTCCTTGCATCCGGGACCTTATTCTTGCCTTGGCTGGGTGGGGAAAGGTGTCGCCTAGCAGCCGCCGCCGCTTTGGCCAACTCGGGACCGGTTGGCAGGACCCAGAGAACGCGTGGAACCGCTCTAGGGAGCTGTCAGGGGCCACAGCGAGGCCCAGCTTGGTGGGTGCGGTAGATGCAGGACCTCCGCTGGTTACCAGACTTGGTCTATGTCCGTGGATCTTTGTAAGCGGGAGTAGGGCCCGTTTGCAACAGCGTAGCTACGCCGCCCCTTCCTAGCCTGTGGTTCGCAATGCTTCTGCCTTCTTATTTCAGTCCCGGTTTCCCCGACACAGCTTCACTCGTTTTAATTGTTTATTTCTGCATTTTTCGTTTTTCTTTTTTCTTTTTTTACCTGCAATCCCTGCTTCTGCGAATCAGAGGTCACTTTAAGCCTTCCACACAACCTCACCCTTGTCACGAGTAGGCGTTCACTCACGTTGGTGGTAGGGGGTGTGGAGAAGGGGACCCAAAATCTCAGTCCTAACCTAGATTAGTTTTAGCAAGGAAGCCAGTAATATTTTGTTTTGTCGGCACAATATTTGTGCTGACTGCTATAATTTTGATCAAAGCTGTTTTTGCACACTTACTTGTTTTGCGTTAGGGAGCCATAGCTCTGCTTAACACCACAGAGAGTTATAATGATGTAATCTGTGAAAAGTGTAAACTACTGTTAAAACCACAATACTGTTTACCTTGAAAATGCTGATACCCACCTATTTTGTTACAGAAAGTAGAGCACTGTGAAAGAATTCAAGATGCCACCTAATATAAACTGGAAAGACTTAATGAAAGTTGACCCAGATGACCTACCTCGTCAAGAAGAACTGGCAGATAATTTATTGATTTCCTTATCCAAGGTGTTTAATTGATAAATAATTCATAGATATATACATTGATCTATGATTAATTTAAGTTGTCCTTGAAATCATTGAATGATACAACTGGCAGAGTTCTTATATTTTTCTTAAAGTTATAAAATAAAAAACAGTTACTTTTCTCTTTACTTAGGTGGAAGTAAATGAGCTAAAAAATGAAAATCAAGAAAATGTGATACACCTTTTCAGAATTACTCAGTCGCTGATGAAGGTTTGTATGGAGTAGGCTTTAATAGTAGCTTTGGCTGTTAGAGGAAATTTAAAAATCTGTTCTTATATGAGCTGATCCCTGTGAAAGTACTTGGTAATATCTAAATCACCACTCAAACATGAGATATCGTCAAATGTGAATTGAGGATTTTAATGTGCAAAACATTGTTAGTTTCTATGTAAAGTTCCTGAAAGAATGTGTAGGAGAAACAGAATGGTTTGTTTAAAAATAACATAGGAAGATATACCCTGAGGACCAAGTGAAAATGTGGACAACGACTGCTATAGGGATATGTTAGGGGGGAAAGTGATTTAAGAGGTATCAGAAGACTTCTTAAAAGACAAAGACTAAGCAGCAGTTTTAGATAAGTGGAAGGCAGTGGTAAGATGATAATGGAATTCTAGTGCTAGTGGTTACCATAAATAAATATTGGGAATGGGAAATATGCTTATTCTTTGCATTTGAGCAAACAGGTACAGAAAGTTTTTAGCAGGTTGTAAAGAAAACAAGTCTTAGGTAGCTAGTTTGGGATAGGCTATCCAGGGCCTTAAAGGTATATTATATGCTATCAGCAATTGAGAGGCCAATAAAAGTTTTCGAACCATGATTAATAGATACAGAAATAGGGCTTAGGATGGAAAAACTGAGTATGTTATGTAGGACAAATAGAAAGGAATTGGAGCTGTTTAGACATAGAATTATAGATTAG